ATATATATATATATATATATATATATATATATATATATATATATATATATATATATATATATCTTTTAATTTTATAAATATTAATATATAAAACATTGCTACATTGAAGATACCCCATCTATACATAGAAACGTATAAATCCGTATTTACGTCTTAGAAATGTAATTCGTGCGATCTTGCACAAGCAGCAGTAGCAATCGCTGTTACTAGTATGCAAAAAAGAAATTCTTTGCGTACAAATAAGAGAATAGCTCTAATGATATACAATTTACAAATAAATTATATATAATTTACAAATAAATGATATACAATTTACAAATAATGATATACAATTTACAAATAAATTTCTAGTATTTAAATTCATTCGTGATCATTTTCTACTTTCAGATATTTTTCTGTCTCAGTATTACTCCTTGTAAAAAAAATCAAATAAAATTTTACGGTATATTGCATCTCATATTTCTTATGCTCCACTCTCCATTATAAAACTACGTCTTCAACTTGCAATGTGTTAAGATGAGAAATTATAACTCTCGCGTTTCAAGAATTATATAATTCCAAATAATCGATCAGGATGGCTCACGAACATGTATCGCACGATTTCACGGGAACTTTTGATGTTTACATGTTTAATGTTATTTTCTTGGCTTCTTCATAGCCTTAGCTAAACCAAAAAAGCGCACGTGATTTACATCGTCTTGACATGTGATCAAATACGCGTCTAAAATACGAATCTCGACTCGTCGGGTAAACATATTGACAGAAGATATAGGACAGAGAAGACAAAGAAGTGATTTTGTCGTTTAAATTATTCAGCTTAATCGGCGTATCGCCGATTAATCGTCCAATTCTTACACGTCGCTATCGCTCGGTATTTCTTCGGTATTTATAGGTCCTCATTAAGTTTATATATAACCAACAAACTCTTCGCATACCATGATACATACCATCTTCGCAGTCCTCGTCATAACGAGCGGTTTGATTATAGCGGTTGAACCCGAAATCATCATTGAAGACGTTCGTAAGTAACTATACGATTGTCGGACAAAGTAGTTCTCTCGTACGAAAGTGAATATCTATATCCGCGATTTCTTATAGCATTTAGAATACTATCATATGGGGGATACCATCTTAAATATTTATCGAGTCTATTTTTCTTTTTAACAAATTGTTTTTTTAAACAAATATAGAATAAAGCCAAATTATGGTCATCATCCTTGGCCTATGACTTCCTAGGAAAACCAGATTTTTCTTGCAACATATATTCATAGTTTTAGTTATAAAGATCTGTTCTATATTAGTCGCAAGAAAAACCTAGTTTCTTCTAGAGTGTCAATGACTGAAGCAGATGTCGATAATTAGTTGTTTTACTCTACTTATAGCGCTTTGATCTATGAGAAAGAAATAAACTGAACACTGTGTATATTGTTCTTAGTCCCGGACTTGCACTTATGTAGCACCATTCATTGGTATAAGGAAAAATGCATAAAAAATAGCATCATATCAATGAAGGAGTATCTGAACAGAGGTGTTCCGGATTTGAAAATACAGAAATTCGAGCCGTATCAAGCTGAAAATTTAGAAATAATCTTAGTAAATAACTTTGAAGGCAGTATGACGTTTAGCAATACAACAATGAAGGATTTAACAAATTTCTTGGTAGAAAATGTCGAGTAAGTAATCGTAATCGACGAGATTGACGCAAAAGTCGCGAATAACGCACGATCCATATCTAGGATTATAGTCATCATCTCGAAGATCGATGTGAGATCGACTATACAGGGTGTTCGGAAAGTACCGGGACGCCCGAATATCAGGAAAAATATAAGTTTTACAAAAAAATGTTTCAGACAAAAGTTGTGGCGTTTAAAAAGATGTATTTACTGATCACATCAGTTTGACCTTGGGTTGCGTAGCGAAGGTCAG